CAAACTTTTTGAATTTAAATATTGAAGTTAACATTTAGTATAATTTATAATATTTTTTTAAAATACATCGAACTTTTTGAAGATGTGTGTTTTAGAATCATATAAAACTATTTTTGAAATATCAGTTTAAAATATTTCTCTACAAAACCAAGTATTTAAAACAAATCTCTAATTTTTTAATCATTGGATTTATTCAAGCGGGGGCCGAGTGAGTGATTAAATGGGACATCTCAACTAACTAAAATCTGCTACCTTACACCCTTGGTGAAAAAGTGTGTCAACGCATGGGGGCAACGTTACTTGGCATATTTTCAACAAAGGAATCGAATGAATTTTCAATCAAAAATCTTTTGGAAGATAGTGTTGTTTGATACGGATGGCCCCTCAATTGATTTACGTCATAGATTTAAGGAATATCAGGCTGATGAAGATGCGACTGTGTAATACTTATTTATAGGTATTTAATTGCGTGTGTATTACTGGCTTGGTTTTTACTCTTGGAATGGTACTCCATTGATCTTTCTTTTCATGCATCAACATCACGCCATTCACCCCTGGAAGTTGAAAAAGCAAGAGGTGGGTGGGTGGATGGTGATCGAGTCTCAAATTTTAGCAAATTAGCAGTTTTATGGGTTGAACACTCTTTATTAATTTTTTTCCTTCTTCCATAAGTTAAATTGCTGATGTAAGTCCTCAAACCTTTGTTTTTTTTTTTTTCTTCCAGTTATCACATTATAATTCTTTATTTTGCAATTGATTATGATGATTCTTAACAGTCGAACAAACACTCCTTGTAATAAATGAAAATTTATACATTTTCGTAAGCGTACGATGAAGATTGTAAAATGCTCCTAAAAACAAGATAGTCTTTGTTTTTTTTTTCCATAAAAAGGAGGGTTTTTTTTAGTATTGAAAGCGTTGTACATGGTTGAGAAAATCATGAGCATATTAATAGATAATCAGTATTGAGAAATAAACAACATCAGTTTGATCAATTATAAGAAATTAAAGGACTAGGATTCGATTACAACAATTAAGAAAACTGAGGACTTGCATAGCCTACGAAAAGGGGTGAGAAAAAAATAAGATATTTTATTTTATTTAAGAGTAAACAAAAAAATTGAGAGAGAGAATTAAAAAAAAATGAGTTTATGTAAAAATATCCTTATATGACTATGACATATTCGAATATGATTTTTCTCTTCTTTTTTTTGTTATTTTTTTAGAATAGATTCATAAAATAAGTATTGTTAATTATTTATTTAATTTTTTAATTTTTTTAAAAATAATAATCAGTTTAATTACCAAAATTTGAAACTCAAAATGCAAATGAATCAACAAAGAATGGTTTTTGAATTTTTCAAAAAAACAAAAACTCTTCTTTCTGTTTTGACCCAAATATATGTATATATATCATTAGTCGGAAGGCTCCAGGACCCAGTCCATACATGATACATCATCAAATAATCAAATTTCTTTGAGCCTTGTTATCGTATCCCAGAGGACCAAAACCAGGTTTGGGCTAAATGGCAAGATTGACCACTATCAAATACTGTCCTGTATTTTACTCTGGGCTTCCGTCCTGTATTTCACTCTGGGCTTCCTTTCCCGGTTTAGACTGGATTAGTTGGATATCATTGCTACGCAACGATCAAACAACCACAATATATGTAAAATCAACGATTTTTTCAGTATAATATAGATAAAATTTTTATTTCTTGTAATTAATGTAAATCAAATAATCTTTTGATTTATATATATTCATTAACAAAATAATCAATAATATTAGCATAAAAATTATATTTTAATAATTGAAAGGTTCTTTCAAAATATTATTTTATTTAAAAAATATTAATTTTGAAACATAAAAAAGAATAAATAAAAAATAAATGGTGTTATGTGTGTAGATACATAATTAATTTCTAACAAAACTAATTATATATATTTCAATTATTTTATTTAAAAAATATTGATTTTAGAATATAAAAAAGAATAAATAATAAATAATTAGTATTATTCATGCAAATACATAATTAATTTCTAAAAACAATAATGATATATATAGAGTATGTAGTATAAACAATTTTTTTTTTTTTTAAAAAAGCGATCTAAGTTGTATGGAATATATTAAAGTCAATAAATTGAAATAAAAACTATTACAAAATTGGTTCTCATAAATTTTACTTCTTAATTTATGATAAAAGATATTCTTAAACTGCAAATTAAATTATAAATTAGTTCTTCTCACTTTGAAAAAAGAATGAATTAATTCTTTTGGTTCGAAATAAATTATTTAATTTTTTTTAATCAGTGTTGACCACGAATAATTTATTTTTTATTTTAAAAAATGTTTTTTCTCATATTTTTTACTTATTTTTTTTTATTCTTTTTCTATTTCTTAAAACAAAAAAATAAAATCATTGAAATAGCAAGAACAAAAAAAAATTAGTTTTTGAACCGAAGGGATTAATGGTGTTATGTATTCAAATACATAATTAATTTTCAACAAAACTCTCTCTCTCTCTCTCTCTCTCTCTCTCTCTCTCTCTCTCTCTCTCTCTCTCTCTCTCTCTCTCTCTCTCTCTCTCTCTCTCTCTCTCTCTCTCTATATATATATATATATATATATATATATATATAGTATAAACAAACATTAAAAAAAAAACATCTAATTTGTATAGAATATATTAAAGTTAATAAATTGAAATAAAAACTACTACAAAATTGTTTCCTATAAATTTTACTTCTTAATTCATGATGAAAGAGATTCTTGAAATGCAAATTAAATTATGAATTGTTTCATCTCGTTTTGAGAAATGAATTAATTAATTCTTTTGATTATAAAAATAAAATTTTTAATTTTTTAATCAATGTTGACCATGTATAATTTATTTTTTTATTTTATAAAATATCTTCTTTTTTTACATTTTTACTTAATTTTTTTATTCTTTCTCTATTTCTTAAAACAAAAAATAAAAATATTGAAATAGAAAAAAGAACAAAAAAATTAGTTTTTGAACCATAGGCAAATTAATTTGTTTCTCGAAGAAAGAGGGACTCATTTATGATCACTCTTGAATAGAAAGTGACTTTGGTTTCACTATCAAAAATAAGAAGAAAAAAAATTAGAAGAAGACAGGAGCATTAAATGCTCAATCTGAAAAAAAAAATGATGAAAAAGGCCTAAAAATAAAATTAAAAAGAGAATTAGTCAAGAATAAAATTGAAGTTTATCAAATCCATTGAGTGTCAAAAGAGAAATTAATGAAAAGATAGGAGGCGAAAAATCAAGCAACATGATGAATAGTAAATTTAAGTCTAAAGCAATAATAAATATCTCAGTTCTTTTAGTTTTTTTCCTACTAATATATATTAAATTAAAAATAAAAGATAATTTTTTTTATTTAATTTCATAATTTTTAATCAAATTTTGTATTTCATTCATGCTTCTTTATGTTTTTCATAGATTTGTTGTTAAAAAACACAATTCTTTTTTTTATTCATTTATTTTTAAATAAAAACCTACAATAATATAAATATAAAATTTTTAAAAATACTTAATATTTTTTTATAAGGCTATATCGGAGAAATATATCAACAATCTATAAAAAATTTTATAAAAATTAACTAATGAATCTTTTTAAAAATATGTACATTTGATATATAAACACACACACATACAAAAACAATCAATAATATTAAGTATAAAAACATGTATTTGAATTATTAGGTGATTCTTTTAAAATATTATTTTTTAAAAAATAAATTAAATTTAGAATATTAAAAATAAATAATAAGAAATAGTTGTTGTTATATGTGTAAATGCAAAATTAATTTTTAATAAAATCAATGATCTCAATACTTTTTTATATGCATCATTCCATCATTACCATACTCTATATAAATTAAAAAATATGTTTAAAAAAATTTAAGTTGTAAGAAATATATTAAAGTTAATAGAGTGTAATAAAAATAATTTAAAATTTTATCCCAAAAAAATTGATTATATCAAGAATAAGGTAAAGAAACACATAAATTCTATTATTCATTGAAAAAACATATTAAAAATTCATACACGAGATAAAGATAAATCATATTTATTAACAAATACAATTTTATAAAAAATAAAAATTTTAATTTGATGAGAATTTTTATAATAAACGACAAATCTAAGAGATTAATTTTAATCAATAAAAAAATATAATCATATATATATATATATATATATATATATATATATATATATATATATATATATATATATATGTTTGTTCTAAAATTTAAAAACATAAGAGGCCAAAAATATCTTTTAAAAATATGAGAAATAAAAATATATTTTGAAAAAATGTGAGCCAAAAACGGATTAAGCTAAAAACATGAGATGTCAAAATATTTTTAAAAATATGAGGATTTTAAAATACGTTTTGAAAATATAAGTGATCAAAAAGGAATGAAGTGTGAAATTTGAAAATGAATGTCCAAAAAGTTATAAGAAAATTTCAAAAATACCATCGTAAAAAATCACAAAATTGCCACATTCTGAATAGTGAATTAAGGCAAATAACAGTATTTTACTGTTTATTTGCTTCAATTCTTTTAGTTTTTTAAGTTAATGAACAGTAAATAAACTATTATTGTTCATTTGCCATAGTTCTTTAGTTTTTTTTTAGTTAATATTCATTTCTGTTTTTGGTGCTAAAAAGTGCATAGGGGAGGCAGCTGGTACCAGACTCCCAACAATGCAAATTACCCCCCCCCAAAAAAAAAAAAAAAAAAAAAAACGCATTAACTATAGCTGGCACTGTTTCTCCTTGCTTTGATGTACTGTGAGTTTTACTGTTTCATCCCTTTATTTTTAGTCTGTTTTTCGTTTACCTTTTTTATTTCGTTATTTTATTTCTGTGTAATTATTTTATTGCCCTCTTCTGTTATTTATTTGTAATCCATTATCCACGGCCTTTTTTCTTCCTTTCTCCTGTCTTTCAGCTGTGCATTAAATGTCATGTCTCATCTTTCTTTCCTTTTTCCTTTTTCCCTTCGTCGTTGCTCTTCTTTCCTCTTGTTGCACCTAAACGCTCACATACATCAATAAAAATTATATAATACTTGCATCCTATAAAAAAATTATGATACTGGTATCCGAGTTAAAATTTAAGATAGTTTCTTATATTAGACTGTATTGTATTATAATTACGTAAAGTTATCGTCAATCTCAATTTATAATAAAATTCGATCCTAAATAGTAAACAAGAAGATCAAAAGATTATAAATAAGCCATTATAAGTTCGTAAAGTTTAGTTAAAAGTTTTGCTCATTAATTCTTCATAAACAAACTAGACAAGAGAATGCAGTGCACAAACATATTTAAAGCAAACACCTAATAGCTGATTTAAAAAAAAAATTCAAAATATCCAACCAAAAACTAATTTGATAAATAAAATCTGCATATTGCAATAAAGAAATACTATACGACACCAAGATAAAGGCAGTTTATTCAAACCAATAGCAGAATTACAAGCTTTTTGTTTCTGCACACAAAAAATCTGAGTATAAAAATACCTCACATCACATCAAACTTTAAAACCCAAACCATGTATCCGAACTCCCAAGCTGTACATCAAGCAGGCCTATGTTAAAGAATAATCCCATCTAATTACAACCAAACTTGAGCATTACCAAAATATAAACCTATGGCGTTCTGCACAGACTTCCATTCTTGCATATCATGACCATAAAAACGCATAAATATTGTATAAGAAAGCTATGATTATCCCAATTAGAATCTGGTCCCTTAGAGAAATTGTGTCATAATCTTTCTTGGGCCTAATATCCAAATTGGAAGATAAACACGTGAACTCTATTGAGAAAGAAGCTTGGCAGTCATGTAGGTGTGGCTCACAGATTATTTCCTCGGAAACCGTTTCGGAACCCCCCGGCTCCGTTCCTATTATCATTGGTGAAGAACTTATTTACTTTTGCTGATTAAATGAATTCAGAAAACGAAAAATACACAATGAAATGACCAAGTTAATTACCTGCAAATGTTTTCCTACGGTGACAACAATAGCGTCTGGTCCAGCATCAAAACACAGAGGGCCTTGGTCCGTCCGGAGAGAAAATTGAGACTGCGTTGTGGGAAAATGGAGACGCAAAATATGATCAGAACATTTCCTGTTTTTCTCATTAAGCATCTGTTGTTCCAATTCGATGTCATTTCTGTGGTTGTGTCTGAACAAGCTAAGGATAGACTCTTTCCCTTGCATTGTCATTGTCTTCCCAAAATGCTCTTTGTCTGTGTTTTCGACTAAAAATTTGTACAATTGTTGCGCAATTGCCTCAAGTTTACTTGCAACATTCTCCATCTTTTCACTGCAAATGAAGGAATATATGTCCACTAAAACCACTTAGAACAGAAAAAAAAATCAAGGGAAAAAAAAGGTTATGCACTGCTAATTCTAGACTAAAAATGTGTCTTCATTTGTAATCAGTTTTGCTAATCCTGCACCTCTATACATTATGCAGTTCTAGCTAATTATATGTTAATAATCAATAATCAAAAATCAAAGGCACCAACTAAGCTAATATATCTTATCATGTTATATATGCCAAACATGAGAACTCATGATCTTAATTCCTAATTCATGTATAATGAGGCACATGCCAAGGGCTGGTTTTTTTGGTCAATCCAAAGGAATGACTTGACTAACAAGGAGGTCCAATCCTTTAATTATATAGTTAAAATGAATTTACTCATCATTTGAATTCATTCTTTGAAAATCAAATGAACTTTAATTCCAAAATCTAATTTTAACAGATTAATGTCAGATCATTTCAAGTTCTCAGCCCATCAAATGAACAATTCATTAGAAATTTGACTGTAGCAGGACTATAACATAGCATTTGATTGCGAATACACAAGATAAACGAGAGAGAACAAAACTAATAAGCTTAGAGAGTACACATATTTCAAGCCTAGAGTAGAAGCTAGCTTCATTGATGGGCTGCATTCAACTAGGCCCAACTATCGACAAATTACCTTCTAACTAAGAAAGACGAAATACCTGAGCAATGTAAGGATCGAGAGAAAACGATTACCTAAAATCACGAAATCTTTCAGCTCCGACAAACTCTCCCGCCAATTCCATTCTTTCCTCGCCAGACAAAACCCACACTATCTCCTTCTGTTGATAATTTCTCCGAAATCCCACATTTTTCGGCTCCATAACACGGAAAACCCGATCGGCTTCTTTGACCAAGAATCCCATCTCCTCAACCGAAATCCCATGATCAATAACCTTAAACACCCCAAATTCCTTAACCGACTCTAAAAGCCGATCCTTACTCTCCCAATCTCTTGATTCCAACAATCGGTAATTGATTTCAACAGGAATGTTTTGATGTTTGTTAAGAGGAATGCAAGGTTCAGGCAAGGCAAGGTCAGGGACATTTAAAGACTGTTCGAGGTATTCTATCAAGATTTCATTGGCAGCAGAACGGGAACCTCTTCCCGTTGGGATCGGCGATGGAGGTGGTGCTGGGATTTTTAGTTCGCTAGTGCTTCGTGTTATAGACATGGTTATGCAGGGTCAAAATGAAAGAACGAATGAAGAAGTGATGGAAGAAAAAGAAGAAAGAAAGATAAGCTGTCAAGGTGGTGGGCTTTCTCGTTGGTTGGTTCAAAGGGACTTTTGAATGTGTTGTTTTTTTATTTTTTGGTTCGTGGGGTCTGTTGGGTCTGTACGTTTGGAGTAGTAGACACGATTATTTCCGTCCTGTCATACTTTTCACACATCAGATTGGCATAACGATGAGTCCGAAGAACGGCTCGAAAATTTGGGTTGAGTTATTTGGACTTAGACTCGAGAGTAGAGATGATAACGTATCGGATATAAAATAAAAATTTATTTTATCTGATTAATAAATATTTAATAGGTATTAAAGTAAATAAAAAAAATATATATATTCATTCATATGGTTTCAGAATATAAATATTTATTTTTTATCCTGTTAATAACTACTAATTCATTTATATTTTTTTATTAACATATAAAGATCTAATTACATAAAATTAAAGACCAAAATATATTTTTTCAAAAACTTTGAAAAAAAAACTTATAAATAAATTATCAAAATGCAAAAAAAATAAAAAATTTAAGGATAAAAAAATTTCTTAAAAATTACAGAGACTAAAATGAATATTTTTATAAATGAATTTTATCAAATATTAAATGTGTATTAAATGAGAGGGTAAACTAATATAGATCGGGTATGAATTAGATAAAGATTTATATAGTGATTTCTTAATGGATAATGAGTACGATATTTTTTTATAGATTGAACAAAAAATTGAATTAATAGATCGAGTATCCGTTAATTGTCATCCTTATATGGGAGTTTCAAGTTTTGACTAGTAAAGACCTAAATTTGTGTTGTCCACGTCTAAATTGAGATCTCAAATCATGACTCGTTATCGTTAATATTTATAAATATGTAATGAAATAATTGCGAATACACTAACTCGTTTTTTTTTTCAATTGAATACATGATTTTTTTTTAAGTATATTAATTTTTTTAAAACTATCAATTGAGTATTTTTGTAAATTTTTTTTTTGTTAATTAATAATATGTTTATTACCCTTAAAATAACAAATTATAATTTTATCTTTTTTTTCAATGAAGTACATAATTTTTTTTTTTGAGTATATCAATCTTTTCAAAATTGTCAATCAAATACTTTTATTAATTTTCTCTCGTTAATCGATGATGTGTCTAAATACCAAATTATATGTTTTTTCCTCTCTTTTGTTGCAAGAAACTTTCTCCTCAAATTATTCTACTTTTTTAAAATTAACAAAAATTTTAAAAAATATTATTTTTTATTTATAAAATCTTGAACTAAATTCAGTTAGACTTGGTATTTAAAAAAAAAAAAAAAAACTCAATTAGGTTTTGGGCATTGAAAGTTAAAGGAAACACTTATAATAAAAAAGATTTATTTGTATTTTTCTTAAATTTTTACTCTTAAGTCTAATTGAGTTTTTTTTTTCTTTTTTCTTTTTTATAATATTAACCTAACCGAGTTTAGTTTGAAATTTTATAACTAAAAAATAAGGCTTTCTAATCCTTTATCAAATTTTAAAATGGTAAAATAATTTAATATAAATTTTTTCCAACAAAAAAGGAGTAAAATTATAATTTCGTATTCGGACGTGTAATCATTAAACCAAAAAAAAAAATTGATAGAAATATTTGATTAATAATTTTAAAAAAATTGATGTATTCAAATAGAAAATATAAAAATTCATGTAATTAATTGAGAAAAAAAGAAGTAAAATTATAATATGATATTATGAGAGTAATGGACACATCATCGGTTAAGGAAAAAATTGACAAAAGTATTTGATTGACCATTTTAAAAAAATCAGTCTTAAAAAAAATTAAAATTCATTTAATCAATTGAGAAAAAGAAAAAAAATTGATATACTCATTAGTGTAATAGTACCAATACGTAATAGGCACTAACCATGTAAAGCTGAACTATCATGTACAAGTAGTAAGAAAATATTAATGACGGGCAAATGTTGACACCACAATTTAGGCTATCCATGCTTGCAATTTTCTTTTTTTATCAGAACTGCTAATAACTGTTTTACTGTCCCAAAATTTAAAGAAATAAATTGAAAGACTTGCTTTGTGAATTTGTAGTACTGAATATAGCAGGGATTGGTTAAAAGCAAAGGAATGATGATGAACATGAGCCCACAGAGAAATAGAGCCGAACAGCTATTGGTTTTTAGGTTTGCTATTCAATTGGATGGCCCTCGGCCCAAATTACTTTCAACTTTTCCTAGCTAATAAGTGCAAGCAATTGAAAGCGCAAAAGTGAAGCAGATTGTTTTCAATTGCTTTCGGTAATGCACGGAAGAACCTTGGACCACCAAAGGAAATCAGCAATTACTTGATAAATGCATTAATGCATCCATTTTCTCAGTAAGTCCTTTTATAAATTTGCAGTTGAGTCAGGAGCAGATTTACTACAGATCCGAAATACTGAAAAAGGGGAATATAAGATCACCTGCTTGCCTTGATAGTTTTAGCTTGGCACAAAACCATTTAAGATGAATTATGATACAAGTAATTGAGATATCGCATAAGAATCAAACCGTTTATTGCACAGTCCAGGACATGCCTGCATTGGCTGTTCTTTTATTAAAACCAAACCAAAACCATTAAAGCTTCACAATTTGTACAAGCATAACTTAACACACACACCATAAAGCATTAATCATCAACTACTAAAGAGATCAATGGGATGATGCTTCACCATTTAAATCTCTTCATTTCATCATCATCTTGAAGACCAGGCTCATGATATCCAATATTTTCAACTGCTGCTACTGTCTTGAACAAGCGTCTCTTGTTTATCTCCTCCAGTAGCGACCGATGCAACAACTGGCTGCGCATATCGACTTGGGAACGAATCCTGCTTAGCTTCCGCTGTGGATTTGAGCTACCACATCCCCATGAATCCAATCGTGCATTTTGCTGTTTATATTGGTTTGCAGTACTCAAGCTATCTTTGGGACAGAATCTTGTCGATTTTTGTGTCTTTCCAAAGCCTAATGGTTCTTCTCCTCTTAGAGTGGTATCATAATCATCTTCATTTTCTGAGCAGTAATTCAAGGTGGGGTACTTGAAAGAGTACGAAGAACTTTGAGAACTTGCATCATCATCGATAAACAGCTCTCCTGCTTAACGCATATCGCAAGTTATATTATTGACCTGCTCAATGCATTCTTTATATATATATGAAATCCTAGCCTTTTTTTCCTCCAAGAAACTACCATATATCTAAATGCTATAAAAAACTTGTTATACCTTCACACCAGTCATGACCAGAAGTCATGTTTCTTCCTGCTTGGAAAGGTTTGGTCTGAAAAGAAGAGTTGAAAGCCAAAAGAGAAGCCTGTGAAGAGGAATGGGAAGAATTAGCATAGAAAGGATGGTGCGGTCCATCATCGTCTTCATAGGTAAAGCTGTGCTGTGGATGATTCATTTGGGGAAGGCTGCATTCTTTCCAACTGGGAATCAAAGACGATATCTGCTCCTCTATCATATCAGCAATTTCAAAGGGTTCCCAATCACTGATCTCCAGTTCTTTCACCATCTCCATTGCAACATCAATTGCAGTGTCATTCATGATATCAAAAGGAAAGTATATGTTCCTGGTGTGACCTGAATTATGAAAAAGCACTGTCAGAAGTGTGAAATAAAAAAGAATGGCATTTCAGCTAACTAGTAAAAACTAAACTACAGAAACGACAAATTAACATAAATCTAACAAGGTATGAAAAACATGAAAAGCTAAGAATCATAACCAAGTGAGCAGGAGTAATGTTATTTACCATCCATATCAGAAATCTGCACTTTGAGAAAAATCGTATCATCTTGCGGATTCATTGTCCCTGTGATCGTCATCTCTGTGGCCTTAGTTGGATCAGCCAACAGAGATGGCATGATCTTCTCTTCTTCATGAGGACTTGACCCTCGACTGGAGACTTTTGGGACAGTTAAAAATTCTGCTTCATCAGATGCTAGAAATGGGTCCAATAAAAGTTCTCGAGCTGGCAACCTCTTTGAAGCAGTCACCAAACATTTCCCTATAAACTCTCGCGCTTCGACATCTTCGATCCGATAGAATGCCTCTGGCAACTTTCCCTGATAAGTTACGAAGGAGCACATTATATTTTCACCAGATGTTCTTATTATAAAAGATCAAATTTAGAGCTCATGGCATTGAAGATTTAAAGACTTACCGAAGTGACTTTCTTGTATATTTGAGCAGGATTGGAGCACTCACTATACGGATACTCGGAAGTGAGCATCTCCAAGACACACATGCCAAAGGAATATATGTCAACCAGCTCATCATAATCCTCTTCATATAATTCTGGTGCCATAAATTCAGGTGTACCTGATATTCAATCCAAAAACAGAAAGAAAACATTTGACAAGAATTAAAATTACTTGGATGCTACCAGAAACTGAAATTGACAAAGAAATTACCTATGACACTGTGGGCATGTTGCGAGCCACGAAGAATAGCAGCTAAGCCTAGATCTCCTATTTTGACTTGCCCAAGATGTCCATTGACAAAGATGTTGTCACACTTGAGATCTCTATGTATCACAGGAGGATCGTGGCCATGCAAATAAGCAAGACCATGCAGGATTTGGCGCGCCCAGTTCTTGATTGCTCGAATATCTACTCGCTGGTACTTTTGTCTATACCTATTATCAAATTCAATCACATATTAGCATTGCATTAAAAAAAATTAATGCTAAAATGTATCAAATGTTAAGGTTTTGGTTCCATTACTCTCTTAGGGTGCCTGAGGTAAACATTTCAGTGATGAAGTTGAAGGTTTTTCTATCAATATCAATCCAAGATGTGGAGAATTTGATGATGGAATCATGATTGAGGTTCTTAAGGAGGTGAACTTCTGAGTATAACCGCTGCAACTCTTCTGGCGAACGAAAGAGGTCGAGAAGCTTCACTTGATTCCACGCCACCTCTATTCCAAGAACCTCATCAAATGCTCTATACACAGTTTTCATGGCTCCTTTGCCAAGAACTTCTCTCAACTGCATAAAAACATTGCACTATGGCCTTCAAGTATATGAACATGAATGATCATCAAAGCTTGCATTTGTTCTATACTTGCATCAATGACTTTCCAAACTTTCATTTTTAATTATATAAAATTACGGGGCAATCACATTTAGTGAATTAGGCCAATAGTATTGGACATGAATGTGACAGAACAATCTGTTCATGACTCTGCAATTTGTTTTCTGAGGGTGCAGAACAGTTTCTATATATTTGTTTGGCCTAGTTAAAAGTATGCTCGTATTGTTTTTAATTCTTAAACCAGAAGATGTAATCTAAGAAATCGAAGTTAATATCACCATAAAATAAAATTTCCAGCTCTCCAAAAAATCATTTTAAGCTTGTTGGCACAAGTTGACTCTATTTATATAGATCAAACCAATCATAGGTTTAGCATAGGTGGTAATTAGTGGATCTGTTTCCACGTTATCATCCAAGTTCGAATCCTAAGAAAGACCGTGAAAAGTTTATTGCGCCATAATCAAACCATTTTGGTTATGCAGATGCACACTACATAAAAATTTATGTTCTTAATAACAAGTCTTCCCATTATTGGTTCAGCTAACAGACAACATGCATTTGAGTTGACCCTGTTCTTAAGGAAGAACGAAAAAAAAAAAATAGAAGTCAACATTATCTAATAATGATATCTTTCAATTTTTCTATTTAAAAAGTGTTTTGGGGAGTTTTACTTCCTTAACCAAAATTGGAAGGCTCTTCAGCATATTGGTGAGACCATTTAGGTTAGAAATAAAAATTCTTTAGTGGGTTGGTGTTGGTTGTTTCCTCCTCCTATGGGAGGGGCCAAAAATCTAAAGGCCGTTGACTGAAAAAAGAAAGCAATTAACTAAAACCCATGAAAATAAAAAGAGTAGATGAAAATGAATGTGATGATCATTCCAAAATGAGTTGATGCTAGGTTACAAAAACGGTTCTAGATGCAGGATGTCCTTACTTTATGGCCACAAATTGATATTTATTTATTGGTTTAAAAAAAGTTGGTCACTTTCCTTAAACCAGTTTCAGAATGGACATAAGACACAAGACTCGTTTACGGTTCAATTTTTCATTCATCAAAGTCAAGTAAAAAAAGCAGCCCAAGTTGCCTATTAGGGGATTCAATTGTATATAGATATTGTAAGATTAATTACTGAAATTTACGTTGGCGTGGGACAAATATTGAGAAAGATTTACATTCACATATGGACAAAATGACCACATTCACAGTTATATTCTTTTTGAGAAGGAAAAACTATTCAAGCCAAAGGATTTTCTCTTATGCCCAGTGATTTAGCATCAAGAAACTATAGTCCTGCAGGAGAAATGTACTCGTATGCCACTAATCATTGATAGTTGCAAAAATTATTCAAAACCTATGTGCACAAGGAATTTGTTAATAGAACATTAAGTATTGCGTGTTAGAAATCAAATATCTGTGGATCTTTGTTACATATGGTAGAATTCAATTGATGTTCAAGCTAGCAAACTTATTAAATTGACGATCAAATGAAAAAATTAAGCCAGAAATTTACTTACACGTCCATAGCGACCAGAAGGGTCGGTCTCCACATATCCAAGCTGTGCCTTAGCTCCATCAACACATGCTCCAACTCGAGTCTTGTACATGGTTGAGAAATTAATGATCGACCACCCTCAAAAACCACAGTGACCCCAATGGAATCTCAAGCTGATTTGTTATAGTCTATGATATACTGTAAATAGTAGTATTACTTGGAACTAAACACACACTACAGAATATTTTGCTAATGGAAGAGTTAGCTAGCTAGCTAGTTGTTAGATGATCCGAGGCTTTCCTAGATTTTGATAAGAAAAGACACCAAATAATAACCAAAACAACCTGGAATAATCCATTTTCAGCATAATCCAAGACATTCCGACAACTTCACATGAATACTGCTCGCAATAGAACCTGGGACTCATCTGTCTGAGGATGTAGGGAAAGAGAAATATTGATATATAGTTGCAGATTTTTGATTTTGAGATGGAAATCTATGGAAAAAAGACTAGAAATACAGTCTATGTTGTCTTGTAGGGAAGAGAATATTTTCTGTCAGCCAATGAAAACAACCTTTTCTTGTTGTTTGATGAGAGAATTAATGAAGAGCTATGAGACCATGTGAGTGTGGAGAGGATTGTTTTTTAGATCACTTTCAAGAAGGAAATGTTTAGAAATTCAGAAGATCATGATAGATAGGACTCGAGAATGATGAATTAACAGAGGTCCTAAATTTGAAAAACCTATAGCTACGCTTTGATAGCACCATTTGTGGATATGAAGCAATCAAATAAAGAAAGATAGATAGCTAGATACAGAGAATCTGGAAGGATAAAGTTTCAAGAGAATTCTGAGACACTTGAAAGTTTTGGAGAGATAAGGAACAAACTAGATGTAAAGGCAAACAATAACAGTAGAGCTAATGAATAATATAGGAGATTAGAAGTTGGTAGGTGCCTGGTGATATAGTTTTTTTTTTTAATCAAGCTAGACCTCGAAAAAAGCAGTAATATTGGATTATGAAAACTAGTGGAGAGAAATAGCTCTCTGCGGTCCCCAGATAGATTAAAAGAAGCTGACACTATTTGACAGAATCCACGACGAGAAATTTATTAGTCATTGGCTTTATTAATACACACTTGTTGTTAAAGTCATTCTGTACGTACATGGGGAAGGCAAGTCTGGTCTGGCAGCCCCTGGCTTGCCTTAACTCACATCCCAGAACATTTAATTCGTAAATACTGTTTGATCGGATTTGTATCTCTCATGTTTCGATAATAATGGCTTACGTGATTTCTGTTTCAGGTTGCAACACCTCCTCTCTGTGACTACTACACCATGCATTGGCTCTAGAGGTCGGAGAGCGTCAGGCTCTCTGCTAATTTTTCAGCATCTTGCATGTGTCTGCGAAGATGATTTTGGTAAGGAAATTGGTATGACCAACCAAGTGGCTTTGTAGCTTATTCATTACCCAATTTATGGTGGGGGAAAAAAAGAAAACCACGACCAGGATTGATATTACTGGGAAATTCGTCGATACGACCAAGGACAACACGCAGAGAAACTAGGTTTCACGCAGGTTTCGCACACATGGTATCTTATGCGGAAACAATTCTGAAAACCATCGAACTACTTCGGAGGTACTAGCGCCAATCCAACGACCCCTAGGCTAGCGGTTGGAGCTATTTTTGAGCCGTTCGCTGGGGGACTTGTATTTACTCTTGCCAACTAAAAAAATATAAAATACATTCATTAAATTATAATACACTCTCAAAGATGTTTTTTATAATCCTTAACAACTATGATATTACTATATTCGTTCAATAATATTTTATCAATATCAAAAATATTTATTATCTAATCAGGATTAAAACTTGATAGCAATAAAAATTACGGATCATCTCATTTTTCCTTTCATGTAACTTAATAAAACTTTTGACTATCTTATTGATATGTCCATAAATAACACTAACCATAAATACACTAAAAAAGAATGAATGGGGGCTAACATGAATTCTAAATGATGAGTTAAGATTTCTTTTTCTTATAGACTAGATGAGGAGATATATTGAATTTATGCTATAGGTTTAGCACATAAAAGAACTTAGCATAACCCATTAAAAATTTAAATAGAAACATGATTATTGTGACACTAAAAAAGAAAAAAAAATTTCTAGACATGCATATAAAATAAAAACTGTCTTTTTTTTTTTTTTTTTTTGCACTCTTGTCAAATAGAGAAAGAGGAGAGGAAAAAGAAAAGTAATGTTTTTTTTTTTTTTTTGTTGGTTTCTATAACAAGAAATAATGGTTTTTGGTGCATAAAATATTAAAGTTTTCTTTAGCATTGATTTTTGAATACTAGAATCACAAAGAATTACAGCATTCAATATAGTGATCTCACTTAAAATTGAACTCTGTAGAAATACAAAAATTTCACAATTTCAAATTTTTGTTATAAGACAATTTTAACTAAAGAGATAACTTATATTACTCGTCAATATTTTTGGTTTCTCAAGTTCATAGATAAACTTAATTGATTATATTACTATCTTAATTATAATGGATTATTTTGATATTGATTTTATGGTTTTTTTTCTCTACAATAAAAAGAAATTTTCATATAAATTTGATATTCTTGTAATTGTGTTCTCTCGATCGATTTATTTTATATTATTAATTGTTGTGTGTTTAACTTGATTATATTCTCGAGAAACCTAATTTATATGGAATAAGATTAAATTTCTTACAATATAAACAAACCAAGAAGTCTGAAGTGAAGTGAAGGATTTTGGATATCTCTTCTTAGTGTCACCATTCATGATTTCCTTTATACTTGCATCATTGCATCACTATTGTTTCGAGTCATCATCTTTCTTTGTACATTGAATCAGTCATCTATAGATTCTCCAACCCACCATGAAGACTCTTATTTTACAAATATTTCAATAAATTAATTTGATGTACATTCATCATCAAACTCAATAATCATACTAGTAGAAAAAAAACCACCTCATGTCACGAGGTCCACAACCTCATCAAGGATGGGCTAAAGTGATTCCATATTGAAAAAAAAAAATAACAAAAATAATGGTTAGGATCTCTTAGCATTATCGGCAGCATCCTAACAATTTAAGAAAACCTGCATTTAACCGTTAATATATTACTTTATTATCGATTCAACTTTAAATCTTTTTAACTACATCCATCCATTGTTAGTGACAAATCAACAATTAAAATAGTTTGTACAATTTGCATACAGTTTATAGGTGCTCATTAAGTATCTCTACGTACCTAAGATGCCAAAATTATGGATAAAATTAGAACAATATTATTTAAATTGTCTTTGAAGAAACCTCGATTTCGCATTGGACGAATCTGTCATATGAGCTAGCTAATTATATAAGAAAATGATTCAAGAGTGGAATCATCCAATTCAGCTTGTGAGATATAAGATATCGTCATTAACTGTTGATAAGCAACCACATGGCAACCCAGAAATGGCAGATTGAAATTCATGACTTTAGCTTTGTGGTAGCAAGACATCTGCCCGTTGCTGTCAACTTATACATGATTGATAATTCCCAGCAAAGAATAGTCATCATTTTGATGCCATTGTTAAGCTAGAGTTAGATAGATTAAAGAAATTAACAAATTAATTTATTCTTTCCTCTTTTAGAGCCCAGAAAGGGCCGCTTGTCTTTTTTCAAATATTTCAGCAATTAATTAAATATATATATATATATAAAGACTACATGTATAGAGGGATTGAGAAATTTCCTTATTATAATTTGTTGTTTCTTAATAGATAAAATTAATCAAATATGCTGCCATATTGAATAATAAAAATCAACTAGTTTCTACCTAAGGCCATGATTTTGTGAAGGAAAATTGTTGGTATTTAAATAATTTAATTGTTTTGAAAAAATTGAATAGGTGTTAGTTTAATTAATTAATTAATTAATTGTTAAATTAGTGATTCACATGTTAATAACATTATTTAAAATTCTAAAAGAAATAAAATAGTTAATAGCTTTACAAATTAATAGAGTTAGTCTAAAACTAAAGGTAAATGGATGAATTTAATACAAAAAAAGTAGAAAGATACAATAAAGACAAAAAAAAAAGTGCAAACTTTCGTAACCATTAATCTTTTTAATATTGATGATAATATATCTTTTTTTGAAAAAAATACCAAGTTTAGAAACTTGACACGGGGAAATTTTAAAAATAATTTAGTACTTGTTTTGCCTCTGGAGGCAAAGTGAGGGAAGTTAATTACGACCTACGTCGTAACAGCAACGAACTTAAGTATGGCAAATATCAAGGTATTAACTCATGGAATTATGTGCTTAATTATATACTTGCATTGGATTATATAAAACTTGGATTCAATGCCTCGACGTGTCTAGTCAATCAGACAACATAGAGCAGCTATAATTAATTATAGTTCAATTTCATGTTAGAAGATCAAAATTGTTTGATATGGATCTTTATTCAGACCTTTATAAAAACTTCATTAACATTATGATAATTAATAGCACTTAAATACAAGACACACACAATTATTGAAACAGGATTAAGAAACTCAATCTCAAACAGCATGTACATATCCTTTTTATTTTATTTTTTTCAGAAAAACCTCATTGTGTACTTATTCAGACCTTCACGAACACTTCATTAGCATTGGAGTAATGATGAAGTTTACATTTTTTGCAATAAAACATAAAACACAATGTTACACGTATAATTCTGTGTGGACACAAACATGACTTGTAGGCCTAAAATTTGTATCCTATAATTTTTCTAAAAAGATTTCCCCCTTATTGATCTCATATACAGATGATAAGTAAGCTACAATTTTATTGTCTTGCATCAATGACAATAAACAACAATCAATTAATACACTATTTTGTTTGTCTTTTCAAAATAACAAGTCAAATTGCCATGTTTGATTTATCATTTAAAAGATGTTAAAAATCATTTTAATTCAATAAAATATTTTAAAATTGGTAAGTAATTCATCAATAAGTCGATTGTTATAGAGGTAAGTAAACTTTTTATAAAACACGTAAAGTGTAGCGATAATATTTTTTTATCTAAGAGTGTA